ATAAACATACTAAGGAAACGTATATTTATTTTCTGATATAATCACTTGATTTAAACCATTATTAAAATCCATTTAAATTGCTAGATAATTTAAAAAATATTGATTTAAATCACTTGATTTTATTTATTTATTTTTTTTTTTTTAAGAATTCACTGTTTTAAGTCAAAAATATTTTTATTAAGTATAATTAATACTTATGGTTGTGATTTTTTTTTTCCAACTCACTTCATTCAAATCGAAGTTTTTGTTTGTTTGTCGGAGAAATAATTAAATAGGATAATACTAAAAAATTATTATTAGATATAATAATAATATAAAATAAATTAAAAAGACTAAATGGAGATAAAAGTTACATGATTATAAAATAATTTAAACAGTCAGAGTCAGAAATATTAAGCGCTTTAATTATAATATGGCTTTTAAATAATATTAAGCGCCATAAATACATTTAATTACAGTTCCAATTGATAAATATAAAAAGAAATAAAATATTCATCGAAAAATCCGATTTTAATCAAAAACCATGATTTATCCACCAACACTGTTTTGTTTCATAAAATCGAAACTTAGCATCATATAATGTCGAAGCATTTTAGCTTCATAAATAAAAATCCTAACATTAGATCAAAAGTTATTAGTTTTTCACCTAACTGAAGAAAAGAAAAAAATTTTGAAGGACTAAAATCTGTACTACAGAATAATCCTAGTAATTGAAGTGTTTTGTGTAAGAAGAGAAGTGACATTTTGGTGAATTTTAAAAACATCAGCTTCAAAAAAAATTATCATTTATCGTATTTAACGAATCTATACTGGAGAAAGAAATAATACAAATCGTAACAAATTTGTAGATCAGAAATTTCGCGTTTTTTTTTTTTTTTAAGCTATTATATCTTCTTTAACTTCTTTAACCCAAATTCCTATATGTTATACAATATTTTATGCTCATGTTACTTAAAGATTATTATTCTGATTGTATGCCTTTACAAAAGGCAATCGTCTATGTAAAAATATAATTGGATTACAACATTCGCATAGTGTTCGTCCAAAATATTCGCTAAATACCATGTCTCGCCTAATTTATATTCTTATTATATTTTAAAATACTTATTCCGAAATGAACACCAAAAAAAATCGTTTTATTCATTTATTTTCACATATTTCATAAGACAGGATACAAATTTAAATTTAAGAATAATAAAAAAAATTACCGAATCGATCATCCCATAATTTTAGAAAAATACCGATGGCAGGTGATAGTGACCTTGTTTCTGACTCATCAACATGAAATTTATAATTTGTGTCACAGAGAACAAGATGACCCCAAAACACCTGGAAAAAGTATTTCGGACAGTAACAGGCGTTTTCTCTGCAGCTGTTGAAGGATTTTTTTTCCTTCTTTATTTTATTCAATGACGCAGAATGTCTTTTTTACCAGGATAGAGGTACACATATTTCCTATTCAACGTTGCCAATCTTTTGCTCAAATTCGACCACAGTAGATCAAACGCTTTCACACTTACATTGAATATGATAGATAAAATAAAGACAAAAAAAAACAAATTTTAATTTAAATCCATGTTTGCCTCGCTTATGCAGCTTAGATTTTTCTTTTTGGAATTTTAAGCAAGTTTTTCTTTAAATCTTCTTTAAACTTCCAAACTATAAATAGCTTGCCTACAACGCTCATTTCATTTATTGAAGTAGTAGAACTGTCAACTAAAATAGAGCATATTTTTGATTATAATAAAAGAATTCTAGAATTTTTATTTATGTTTATGTAACCAAAAGAACATAGATAAAATTCAATTTTAAAAAACGCGCGGAGTATCAACTAAATCCCATTTAATGAGATTTTAGCCAGCTATATTAAATGTTTAAAACGAAAAATGATATTTTTTTAATTATATACAGTTTAACTGTATTATATTTCAAATTTGTATGAAAATAAGTATACATACAACTTTATTTCAAGAGTCCTCTTTAGGCAGAATACTATACTCTATTCGTGTTAGCCCTATGGAAAACGCTATTTCCCTTATTTATAACGTAACTAATATCTTTCAATCACTTTTCTTTTTTACATTTTATTCACTGAAATATGTTCTGTAAAACCTAGTTACCTACCAGATTTTAAAATTTAAAGCTTCTGGCTTTGAAATATTAGAAAAATTATTAAAAGGCAAATATTTAGTTATGCATTCAAATAATTTTCCACATAAAGAAGGAATCACATGAAAGAAACATAACTCCTTTTTTGCAACATATTGCTCTTACAAATACAGAGATCTCCCTGAAAATAAAAAAGGTCATGGTACTTTTTTAAAAAACAAAGGCACCTTCAGTTTTAAAGAGCACTAATCTTGCAAAATATATCAAGCTAGATAAGTGCCCTTCAAAATGGAACTCAAAATACTCAAGTTAATATAAGAAAAATATCTTATACAAATTCAACTTAGCCTAAAAATAATTTGCAGTAGTTACGGTAATCTGCACTGCAATCTCTTTTCTTAAAATTAAAAAATAATTTTTTTTTCCCTTAAAAAAAGGGGGGATTGCATCTTTACAAAAAGCGGAAGGAGGATGCATTTACCACTGTCAAAGGGCCAGCCACGCTTCTAAAATCGCTTTGAACACTTCAACCCTTTAAGTGAAATATACCTGATACAGAGAGCAAATAAATGAGTAAGCGTCAACTAGATGAATAAATGGGAAGTAGAAAAAGGGGCAAATAAATCTGTAAATATTCTTAAAAACCTATTATTTGAAGTACGTCAGCCACCCATGTTTTTAGGACTATAGTTTGACCATAATTTCCTATAAAAAGACTTCAATGAAGTTAAAGAGGATATTTTGCGTAAGTGAATACCATAAATTTTCTAAAAATATAAAAATCTATAAACCTTACAATAGATTTGCATCCGAAAATATTCAGGAGAATGATGACTTAAAATGTCACCTATACATATTAATCTCGCAATACTGTATGTAGCTTTATAAAACAATTAATGTCATGACTGTCCTCGGAAGTGTTGTTAACTTTCCAGGATATCAAACTTATATTACAGCTTTATTATTCTATGTTTGATAGCTTCAAACTGAATTTTAATAAAAATTTAGTGACAAAGATGAAAAACTAGATAATGATCACAGTTTTTGAATGTTAACTTGATAAGTGGCCACAGATGCAAAAATTAATAGACCTTGTAAAACTAAATAATTTTAAAGAAAATCAAACACAAGAAGCTAATGGTATCATGAAAATTTTCTAATTGTCAAAATTTCCACTTTGCCTACCTTACATTAACTCTTACCTTACCTTACATTACATTAACCTTACATTGCTCATTTTCTCGACCTACTGAAGGGATGAAAGAATGACTTCATATAGTTCTCAGGGGTCTGTCTAGGTTTTTCTGAGAGGTACCTATTTTGTGAAAATTTAGACGTAATTTGTGAAAAATTAAAAATTATATTAAAAAATTAACATAAAAATATGGATTTATCTTTTCTTAAGGGATACAAAAATAAAATTTTAAGAAAAAGTATTTTGTGCAACTATCGTTTTTCCTAAAGTTAATTTGTGAAGGTACCGCTAAACGGTAGCAAATTTGACCTGAACAGACCCCTGGTTCTGCTAACATAAAATATAGATACCTACTTATGTATATAACAATATTAATACACCAAATTCAAGAATAATAAATATCATAGAATTTGGTTGACATGAAAAATTCGTATTTAAGGATTGCCAAATGAAAAAAAAATTTAACTTTCATTTTTTCTTTATCGTTAAAACTTTTATTATATGACAATAAGTTTTTATGAAAAATTAATTTTAAAAAGAAATAAATAAAAGATTTTTTTATTTCAAATGAGAATAACAATTAATTAACAATATGAAAATTAAAACAATTTAATAAAAATCACACATGTCAATCTGTAAAAGCAGACTTATAAAAAAAAATAATGTGCAATTGCAGCGGTTTTCAAACTGAGAAATACGAGCATTACCCAAGAGAGGCATGCTTACTCAGTCATTTAGGTAAACTACATGAAAGGCTTCGAGTTTAAGCACTAATTCTAATGCTTTTGTAACAATTAAAACATAAATTAGTTTCTAAACTTTCAGCATTTACTTGGTCTATGTAGAGACCGGCTGATACGTGCATACAAAAACAACAAAAAAATCAAAAGTTATAATTCTGACTTGAAAAAAATTTTCGAAGTAAATGTTCAAAATCAAAATAATAGCTAAACCAAAAACAATTGGATAATCACAAATATATGAAAATACTAGCTTCCTTTTCGCAATTTTACTATTTTAAATAAAGTTCTTGCTAGTTCAGTACTTATAAGAATAAACAGTTCAAATATTTATAAAAAATTGAAAGTAAAGATGAATAAGATGTCTTTTTCAAAAAAATAATTGCTAGACAACTACACCTTTCTTGTTTACACATAAGGCAAAGATATGTAATAATGCTATGATTCAAACCTTTAAATCTAATAATTTTTACTTACATTTTATAAACCTCATAAATTTCAAGCTAATCAAATAAATTAAATAATAAATGCAATTCAGAGTAGATCAGTTACACAATTTTAAAACTTTCATAGAGTATGAAGTAAAAAAAAAAAAAAATAGATATCCTGATAAAATTTTCAGTTAGACTTAGGTCTAAAATTGAACAAATTTGTTTCAAAAGCATTAAATACAATCATAAAAATAGATTAATTAATTAATACAGCTTACATTTAGTGTGATTTAATAAATAAATGGATTCAGATTCTCTTGCAAGAGAAGACTCTAATTATTTTCTTACTCGTTTAACCAGAAGTCCCCATTATCGGCCCCAGGTATTTTGATCCATTAAAAATTATTTATTGATTGTTATGATTCACTTAAGTCATGACATTCGTATCGTTACATCATGTAGAGCAATAATTTAAGCGCAATATTTTTCGATGTAGTGAAAATACATTAAAGAAAAGTCACTCACCTTATGAACTGTCACAATAAATAAACGTATAGTAGTCCTTTATAGCTCTATAGCACACGTCACAACAAAAAAGTCAAAACAAATACTGTGATTTTTGAAAGGAGAATGGTATTCCGGTGAACAGAGTCAATAGCCAAGAAATCGGATAGCGGTATCTTCTGTTCCCTCAAAAAATGTTCGAAATAAATAGTTCTATATTACTCAATGATTATTAAAGGAAGTAGCAATAGACATGGTGAGGGTAAAAGAACATGCCTAGAGGGGAAAACATACAAAGTCACGGCCAAGTTCACGACTCAAGTTTTGGAATAACACATCCGTAGACACATATGCCGTCACTTCCGGTTTTCTGGTGAATGCCAGATTTGAAATGCGCTTATATTAATTATTTTTTAAATTTCTTTAAAGATTTTCTTTCTAAGGAAAAATCAAACTTCAAACAGTGTTTTAGTTTTAAAAAAATCCAAATGAAATTTAATCTTCCCAATGCTATTATTTTAGCTTGTTTTTTTTATAAAAATTATTGCAGCTGGGGCTCGAGCCTCGTCCCAAACTCACAGATATTAGGAACACGTAAGAGGAAACGTTAGACCTTTTTATTAATGGTAACAACAAAATTTGTAGGCTTACCTTATTTTGAGATTCATAGAATACCAACATCATTCATTGCTGCTCTATTAAATAAAATGTTTCTACTACGGATATTTTTATTATTCTAAAAGGATCATTCTCGTGTATTTTTCAATTCTTAATTTTTTTTAAAAATTTAATTAATAAATAATCTAACTTATTAATAATAAAACTAATTGAAAATATATCTAATTAATAATATACTTAATTTGTGTTATAATTTCCCTTGACAGGATCTCTTTTTGTAAAGCTATTTTTGTTATCTTCTTCGAAAAGAACTTCCTCCGAGTAATTTTTCAGTGGAGGAATTTGGGCGGATTACCCATTTGGACACTTGTTTTTTTTTTTAGAACGTTTGCTTTATTTTTATTTCATTTACAGAATTTGAAATTTTTAACTATCATAATAATACATGAATAATCCCAAAGGGAATAATTATGCATTTTCAAAAAGCGGATTTTCTCACTACCCGTTTCANAAATAGGTCGCCAAAAAATTGGCGGCACTTGGCCTTGCCGTAGTTATGATAATCATCCCAGTAAAATTAGTGATAAATAAATAATGTTAGTAAAAAAAAATTTTTATTGAAATAGTGCATTTACACGCTTTTAGCCGAAAATGGATAAAAGGCATAACAAACATAGCGAGAGGACATAGCGAGAGAAAACTAGCGAGAGGACGCTTTCACAAATAGAAAAAGTCGCCATAACGATCGAAATTGGCAACCCTTTGTTTCTGTTGCCACTGGAAAGATGCATTACATTTCCTTATTATTTAAAAAGATATACGTCTGCTGTGTTTCATGTCCACAACAACTTCAACTTGCAATTCCAAATAAGTTTTTCTTTCTGTTGACAGGAGGGGTGGGATTTTAATTAGATAAAAAATGGTATTTTTTTAAGAATAATTAAAAATTTATTTAATTTTCTTAGAAGTGTTGTAACAAAACAATTTTTTTTGTAATCCGTGAACCATATTTTTATATAATTATACTTTCTTTTCATTATAAGGATATTTTTTGTGTTTACTTATTGCTCACATTTATGTTTACTTTTTTAGTTGGTTCTTGTTCTCGGAGATTTGCATATTCCTCATCGGTGCCATAGTTTACCTGTCAAATTTAAGAAACTTTTGATCCCCGGAAGAATACAACACATCCTCTGCACCGGCAACCTTTGTACCAAAGAGTCTTATGATTACCTGAAAACCTTAGCAAGTGATGTTCATGTCGTCCGAGGAGATTTCGATGAGGTATTTTAATTAAAATGTCACGTGTTTGAAAACGTCGGGGATATTTATGTTCGGTGATCTGTCTTGCCAACAGCAATCTCTATGGTGCCAAATAGATTTTAAAGTTGCAATCTACTAAAAAAAATAAAACGTGTATAAGTTTGCCCGTTAGTGGCTGCGAGTTATACTGTTCGAATTTGGCTTTTTAAGTGATCATCTTAAGTTCTCGCTGGCCGCTGCCCGGAATTTGATAAGACATAGCGATTATTCTGAAATACATTATGATACAGAAGTCTTCCCAAAAGCATTCAGAAAGTTGGGGAGGTTTCCGTATCATCTCCCAGGCAATCGTCCAACATGTTTTTTATTTTTAAATTTGCAGGTCTAAAATCTTAAGGGCACCTTGGCGTGACAGATCACGATGCGGAAATGTCATGATCACGAATTGATCTCTGTCAAGCAAACATGGGTTTCGAGACCTGAGACATTATATGGATTATTTCTTGTTTTACCATTTTATTTTTGTGTCAGACTTAGTATCCCTATTCAGATCCTTTTTTTTCAATATGAATTGGTTATATGTTCTCATCAGTTCTTGCTTATACCAAGAGTAACTGCCTAGCTCTTGTAATTGGAATAAAATTTTTAAGAAGTAAAGTATAGTTTGTCTAAAGTAAAAACTCCCCATGCCATTCGCCTGAACCTGTGGCAGTGACTATAGTAACGAGGTATAACTATTTCAAGTATGGGTGTGAGATTGTTTAGGACGGGTTTTGGCTCGGGTCAGCGAGAGGAAAGGAATCTTTTTCTTCGGTCTATTGTGGTAGCCCTAGAGTGAAGAGAAGCTACCATCCCTGAAATGTGCTATTCTTGTTTCCATAGCAGCTTTGTGGAGGGAGGGGGGAGTTCTTAAGGTAGACAAACTATATTAGCCATTTTGGGAGACTCTGAAGTATGACAGTACTTTTTTTATACCACTATTCTCCACAGTAGATAATATAATACCAATTATCACAATTAAGCATTAATGATAGTTTAGCCACATTTCAATGACAACTGTGAAGTGGTGAGGAAATAAAAGGAAAGCACAGTTAGGAACTAACATGAAGGGTTTAATCCGTAGCCAGCCTAGCAAACAAGTATGTATATATTTTTTTAAAAATTGCAAGTATAAAACCCTTTGTTACTTTCCCAAGGGTAGTTGGCACAAGCAAGTATTGATGCAGAAATATCCCTAGAAACCCTCTGTGATGTTTTTTCCCTCTCTAGTTTCTGCCTTGCTACTGCTCAGCTGTGGTCAAAAAACTTGATGTAATTACCAATAAGAAAATCTTACAATTTAATTTAAAGGGGGAAACCAATAGAAAATTTTCAATCTATCAAGTTTCTGTAAAAGTTTACAATCACAGCTTACTGTTTGTTTTGGCAGATTTTTATTTTATTTATGTATTTGTAAAAAAAAAAAATGAAAATGTCTTAGAATAAGAAAAATAACAGAAAAATGGAAGACTTTATCAATATTGAAAGCTTAAAGTTACTGTGCCAGTGTTTTCACTACAGCGCAAGAATCTCGCATATTTTTTTATATTCTCGCATTAAAAAATGATTACCATGAGAAATTCGCGAATTTCTCACATTTTGAAAAAAATTCTCATTATCGCCATTTAGAATAAAATCTGTTTCACTTTTCTTCCTGGATCTTTTATTATTTTCAACAACTGCCCCATTATCTAGCTTCCCTATTTACCAGTATTGGTCAGAACCTTTAAGAACAACAGAACACCATCCTTCCGAACCACGGAACCTCTTTCTCTGCAACCACGTGTTTCCCGTAGGTAACGTTTCTTCGTGTAAGACGTTCAAATTTTTTGCTCGTTAATGTAAGATGGACAAATTCCTTGTAAAACCAATATCTTCTACTCCGAAATGAGCAAATGAAAATGAAACAAATGTGGGTTCAAAACAAATACGCATTTGAACAACCTAATGAGAATAGCTTATGAAAAAGTAGATGTAGAACATTTTCCACATGATGATGCAGCAAAAATATTCAATGCTTTAAAAATTAGAAGATGTTGAAAATGCATTATGTAATTAAAGAAATGATTTTTTTCCAAGTCTCTTTGTGTTTTTTTTTTTTTTTTTAATTTTTGAAATCTCACCCTGTTTTTGAGAAAGGGTGAGAAATTCCCACCCATTTTTTTCTGAGATGAAAACACTGTGTGTCCAATCCAAAAAGCACCTTATTTTAAACTCTAACCAAAGTTCATAATTTTTTTTTTCCAATTCAACAATACATACTAGTGGTGGCAAACCTATGAGTCAGATACAGGCACACAAAGCTTTTTTAAATGACTCGTGTATTGATTTTTATGAACTTATTTTTTTTCATAGAAGAAGCAATCAGACAATTGAAACATTAAAATATAAATATCTCAGATTAGATTTATAAATAAAATATTTCCAAGTAAAGGATTATCAACTAGTTTACTGCGGTGCTGTACTGTACCTGTGAATTGACAGTTGGTCATAAATTAATCATTGCCCACATATTTGAATTACTATAGATAATTTATTACCAACAATTGAAAGTATAGATTTCAAAGATTACAGTAGTACGGTTTTTAGGGCATTTTCTGATTCCTTATGTTTGTATACACTGTTTCCAATTTGAAGCTGTGATATTTTAGACAGAAGTAGTTAAAGGAATAGGCTTTATGTACCTCAGCAACCAAGAGGGGCCTCTTTACCATTGTAAAAAAAATAAAAGGATTTTTATTTTAAAAAAAAACTATTTAACATTGTTTTTTAGGGGGGAGGGATGGGGAAATTAAGTTAATTTAAACATTTTCTTTTACATAATTATCGTAAAATTAAATCTGTGGGTATGTAAAGTTGTAAAGAACAAGGTTTTTTTCTATTAATGCCTCATACATTAACCTGATTAGTTGTAAATTATAGAGATAAATTGATTAAAAGTTGGTGCACTCTGGGCCATACAGAATTAACTATATAATAATTTCAGTTATTTAATATATATATTATTGAAAGTTATCTCTAATTTTAAACATTTATACCAAATACAAGAAGAACATTGATATCTGGGTTTGTATTTTTTCTTGAACAATGGAAAAAAGTGAAAATAGATTAATGAATGCTATCAATTTAACAATTAGTATCACAAGAGTAGCTAAAATTTAACAAATAAAGTGTAATGATATTTATACATTTAATACAAGAAATTTAAAAGTTGTTCACATTTACTATTTAGGGAAAAAAATTATTTTTATATATTGGACAGAATTTTAAAATCTATGTAACTTATTATAATGAAACTGATGGACTGGAATTTATGTTATCTCTACTTTCCTAAATAGATTTGTGTACTTATATTATTTTTGGTTTAACTGCATATGTGTTCTATTTTCTGTTTCATATCTGTTTTAAAAATATTTAATTCATAGTTAATAATTACAAATTGATGGAATTATTTTTTTATAGGTTTAATTCTGACTTACTATTAAAAATAATTCATTTTAAAAAAGTATAACTTTACTTTTCTTAACTTTAAAGTTTCATTTTTTTTTTTTTTTTTAGTATGAATATATTTGTTTGTGATTCTTTTGATATGTAGCATAATAAAATAACTCTATTAATCGACAAGAACTAATTTAAAATTATAATGTAAGTAAGTATGTATGATTCTGCAAAAAACTCTTTACATTTATTTTCTTTAAAATTCTTCATTTTTAATTTTAGCTTATACTCATTTAAAAATGATGTATTAAATAGCTACTAAATTAGAAATAATAAAAATAGATTGCAAATATATACTGTTTAAAAAGTTGTATTATTCGATTTGGAGAAGAAAAAAAATTTTCTTTTCCAATCGAGTTGAAAGAAACCTATTTTTTCTGGGTAGCTTTTTACACTGTGGAATAAACTCTGATTGAAGTAAAATATATTTTAATTTAAACTGATTCTATTTCTTTCTTCTTCCATACTTCTTCACTTCTTGTTATTTTTACTCATCGATTGTTCTTTCCCAATTTTATACATGATTTGTGATGGAGGATGATTGTTCTAAAAAATTTAGTCTTAAAGTTGCAGTAAAAATTTAGTATAAAAATTAAAAAATAAGAGTTAATGATAGACTTAAAAAAATAATTCTCTTTACAGAATATGAATTATCCCGAGCAAAAAGTTGTTACTGTTGGACAGTTCCGCATTGGTTTGTGCCATGGCCATCAAGTTGTACCTTGGGGTGATCCAGATAGTCTGGCCCTGGTTCAACGACAACTGGATGTGGATATTCTTATATCTGGTCATACTCATAAATTTGAAGCATATGAACATGAAAACAAATTTTATATTAATCCAGGATCTGCTACGGGTGCCTATAATCCTTTAGATAGGTAAGACACTTACGGTTTTTATAGCATTTTCTTTTTTAAATTAAAGATAAAATTTCGTATTTGTATACCCTTTCTTGTTAATTTCTTTATTTCACATTGCTATCTCATATCTGTATCTACAATTTTCACCAATGCATAAAAGCCATTTGAAAAATGATAGATGTGATTATTTCATCCATGGTTTAAATCTTAAAAAAAGCTGATGTTTGTGGAAAAACTTGCCAACTTTGCATGCTTATTACTCATTAAAATAACCCCATAAACATATTCCGAAATTTTGTGTGAAAATGAAATGAGTTTTTGATTTGCTAACTACCAAGAATTTTCTATTATTACTTTTTGGTGTGGTCAAAAACTTTCAATGTAAACATGATTGCAATAGAAAAGCAATTGTCTTTCATGTTTTTATAGATGGGCTAGAATTATTATTATTCTAGTCTTATGCTATATTTTATCAACCTTCCTTTAAAAACTTTATTTATTCACCAAACCATGCATTAATTGGCTCTTATTTTATTATTTTTTTTAAAAATAGTTGATTTTAACTTATTTCAATATGCCTTTTCATTTTGAGAAGTTATTTTTCAAACTGTTTAAATATTAAAGAACTACCTAGAACATGCTGTGATTTTTCATAAATGAAGTAATATTTTTTTAAGTCTCTTCCATAATTCAGCTGTCATTTATACTCAAGTTGATGTAAAAGAAATGGAAAAGTATTTAGCTGGTCAATAAATTCAGATTACTGAACACCACATAATCAAGAATTTATTATAACCCACATTAATTAAATTATTCAATATAGTGTAAAAAATAAAACTGTTATATGTATGATTTAAGTGCAACATGAATTTCCAGCACAAAATATCTTTTTTTAAAAACATTAATGTTTAATTTGTAAATCACTTAAAACATGGATGTATATACAATAATGATGTCAAGCATATTATGCTACAACGTATTATACTACTACTTAGTATACTATATCATTATTGTTTTTAATAGGTATGTGGCTTCTTTTTAATATTGTAAATAACTGCATTTATTTTAGGAAAGCTCACCCAATTAGTTTTAAATAATCTTTATTAATTACGAGCATTCTTAATTAATTACTAAAGTTTCTGGTGAATATGATTTTTAATAAACTGCCGCAAATATTAGAAATTTCAATTTAAGGCCACAAAAAAAATTTGTATATAGCTGGATTATATAAAGAAAATTATACTAATTTTCTTTTTCAATTGTATTTTTTAGTGTATTGAAATTATAAAAATTTACTTGTTTTATGGAAACTGTTTCACAATATTCTGTTTTTACAAATGTAGTCATCCCTATGGTGAAATTGGGCGACACATTGTCGCAGAATGTTAAGAGGTCTTGCAAGAATAGTTTTTATTTTGGAAATAAAATGAAAGACCTTCCTTTGAATCTTGCAATAAAGAAATAAAAAGTCCCTTCTGCAGATTTGTTTTCAAAAGATTGCTTTTCTCCAACACCTAATGATAAAGAAATGCTGCAAATTTTTAATATTTTAAAATTCCTATGTCTTTTGTTGTTCAGTTATTACAATAAGTATTCTCATTATTTTTTTCTAAAAAAAATTCAGATATTAGAACTCAATTTTAAGCTTTGTATTTAAGTAATAACTTATTGACAAGCTTTATTTGCACCAATATCCTTGTATATTAATGCAGTGTTTTCAACATTTTTCTTTACAGTTATTGCTACAAATATTTGCTTGTGTTTTTGAAAATCCTGTTGTTTTTTTAAGCAATTTTTTTACGAATGCAAAATTCAAATTGCACATTGAATTATTTCTTTTTAACGTCACTGTGCCACCAACTTTTTTCAGCAGTTATTGCTACTGGATTTCACATGGGTTTTTTTTTTTTTTTTTTTTTTTTTTTTTTTTTTTTTTTTTTTTTTTTTTTTTTTTTT